GTCTTGGACGTCTTCGAACCCGACATGCAAGTGGTGGTTGAGATCGACCACTCTTCGGGGCACACAAGGCAGCGGGAGGATGGATGGCATATGGGGAACATGAATGTCAACTACGGGGGGAAGCAGAAGGTGTTGCGGGATACAGTCATGACAGAGGGGTGTTTGGGACCGGAAGAGGCGAAGATGTACCTCTCCAACGGCAAGTGGAGCACGGAGTTCACCGAGGGGGCAGAGGTCTACGACATGAAGCTCAAGGTTGGCGACACACAGACCAGCACGTTTGCGGCAGGTTCTCCATCTCCCTTTTTCGAGTGGGATGCGCCACGCAAAGATGTGACGGTCGCGCGCAAGGCTAAGCGCACGAGCAAAGCGGGAGTGGGGGTTGGCGCAGGCGATGAAGGGGCGGCTGATGAGGCTGGAACAAAGCCTAGGGATAAGATTAAGGAAGGGTACGAAGGGAAGGCAAAGGGCTCCAAGCAGTACCTGTGGGAACGGGGATGGTGGAAAGAGGGGATGAATGCGTCAGTGGGGATCGCTGACGAGAAGAACATTTAGCAAGTCTTGCAGGCACTGACGGATTTTGAGAGTGAGAGGACGGCGCTGCAGTACTTGGTCGAGAGCAGGGGACACATACTTTTGTTGTCTCCGAAGTGTCACCCAGAGGTAGCGGGGGTAGGGATCGAGTACTCGTGGGGGTTTTCCAAGCAGAGGTTTCGGCGGAAGTACAACGACGAAGTCCCGAAGCACTTGCACGCCAACATCGAAAAATCGATGTGCAGGGAAAAACATTTGACGATCGGTCGGGTGCGACGCTTCGCCCGGCGTAAACGAGACTACTGCCGAGCTTACCGCGAAAAACAGCTCGGTGCGGTAGACGGCCAGGGTCTACAGCTGGTCGAGAAAATGCGCGACACCCAAAAGGCTCACCGCAACATACTGGACATGGAGCCCGGTTTCCTTGGCAAGCAGTGACCTTGGCCGGCCGGCCGTAAGGGGGGGGGGTACATTGTACTGTAGAGAGTGACATATACATGTTGAAGATTGGATAGTGGAATATTTTATGCAGCGTGGGTGTTGTTGTTGGCTTCGTATTACAGGTTAAGCATAGGTGTGGTTGTGTGCAAAATATCGTGCGGTGATGCCGTAAAAGTCTTTTTTTTTTTTCCGGTCGAGTTGAGACATATTTGTTTGAGTTAGTGCACGCGCATGTTGGCGTCGTGAGCTTTTAATACATGTTTCAAATCATCACGCCCAGAAGGTGCAACTCATGTACGTCATGGGCTGGTAGGCAGCGCCAGTGTGGCTCCTCCCAACTACACCGCTTTCGCACACGTCTCTACGGTCCCTAGACCCCTCATTTTCCTATATAAATGGTGTGCCCCTGCCCCCAGGTTCTGAGGTCAGAACGAAATCTGGATTTCCCGCACGGTTTTTTCGAATTAGAACCTGAAATTTTGAGACGGCATCTGCATGAGTACAAAAAAAAAAGCCACTGCGCCATTTGGATTGTTTTTTTTAGTCACTTTGCCCCAAATAAATATTCCCATATTTACAACAATAGGGGTAACTCATGAAAAAACAAAATCCAAATGGCGCAGTGACTTTGTTTCTGTTGTACTCATGCAGATGCCGTCTCAAAATTTCAGGTTCTGATTAGAAAAAACCGCGCGGGAAATCCGGTCCAACCGTGACATACGCGTCTTGGCTGTACCAGGTTGTATATAAACGTCCGGTCGGTAATTTAGTTCTATTACTATTGGTTCCACTCAACTACCGTAATCATCGGGGTCTTGGCACACATGGGGGTCTTGGCACAGGGTGTGTGGGAACGAAGCGGGTTCCGAATGATTTGCTAGATTATCGCACAGGTATCGTTGTCTCCACGCCGATATGTGCGGTGAGGTTTGGCGGTAAGTGATACCCTTTCACCAGCATCTTGTGCTGGAAGTTCCCGATACTGTGGGAGCTTGAATCGCGTGCTCCACTGCTACTGCTGCCCTTGGCACCATGACGATGTTCAAAAATGTGGTATTTGTACTCTTTGTTCTTTTCTTTTCGTTCTGAAGAATCAAGATCGGCAAATCGGCAAATGGCATCCACTCAATAATTCTAAACGCAGATGAAACCAAAAACGAAGAAAAAAATAACAACAAACTACCACTACGAGCTACTAGCGTCCTACTACTGTACTTCCTAGACGAGTTAAACTCTACTTCGTGCCCGCGCCCCTACCATCGCAAAAACATCCAATCTCACTGGCAAGCCCAAAGAACTATGATTCAAAGTTAGACTACTCCTCCTTCGGCGCCCCCGCCCCCCTGCCCCTTCACGACTTCCACGTCGCTGTCGCCCTCCAAGACCTCCACCTCGCTGTCGCTCTCATCAGCGACGTAGGGCAGCAGCTTCCCCTCGACCTCCTTCTGAGCAGCCGTGATGGGGTTGGAGTCGAACCCCCCTGGTACCTTCGGCAGCTTGAGCGGCGGGAGAGTCACGTCGGGGTGCTCAGCGAGCCACACGGCGT